GGCAGAGGGCTGGGGGTGAGGAGCGCAGAGGAGGGAGGCTGTGGGGGGGCAGGAGTCGGGGCGGGGGGCTGGGAGCAAGGGGATCAGAGCAGGGAGGCTGTGCGGGGGTGGAGGGATCAGGACAGGGGGCTGAGAGTGGGGAGGATGTAGGGGAGTGGGAAAAATGCCGGGTGGTTCCTTCGTACCGGAGCGGCACACCCAGGGCTTACGGCCTTACCTGCACCCCTGTGTACCTGCTACTCCTACTCGGTGCCCCTTGATCCCGTCCCACTGCTATTCCACACCCCCCACCACCACCCTCGCATGGGTGCCCCTCAATCCCTGGCCATTCCAGCCCATGTCACCCTATCGCCCTCTAGTGGCTGCCCCGGGAGAGTGGATAAAAGACATTCTATAGCCGTGCAGCTAGATTTCCAGGCCAACAGAGCCCCCCCCCACACACACACCCCGGTGCAGCGTTGCTGCTGTACTGGTTCCCCACACACACACACCGCCACACCCCAGAGTCAGCTGCATTTCAGCCCCAGCTGAAGCAATCGCAGGATGTTATCCTCCCGGAGTTAATCCAGGTATGAGGAAACGGAGATGACACATTCTGATAGGAGAGGGTTTGGGCCCTTTCCTCCTCCTTCCAGTGCATGTGGAATATCGGGAAAAACACGCCTACGAGAAGACACCCGGAGAGGGAATGTAGGCAGGGCACCCCAGGGCTGCACCATCAGCCCAGCGCCCTTACAAATACAGCCGGGATCCCCGCCTGCCGGGACAGAATCCCGGGATACAGAGCATCTTGAGGAAGTCAGTTTCGACCTCTTGGAACAATGTTTCTCGGCGTCTTCCTTTTGGTGCTGCACTTAGCAGGTAGGTGTCTTAGACACCAGGCTGGGGCCAGGCGGGGCAAGGTGGCCTATTTGGGGGGAGGGAGGGAGGAATTGTGAATTGCATCCTGCTTTGGATATCCTGCTGTCAGGAATGTTCTGAAGGTGGGGACCCGCAGGCACGGAGAGGGGAGATCACATGGAGAGGCAGCAAAAAGCGCCCTGACTTGCATTACCTGTAAGCTGTGTGCTTGTGCAGCCACTCAGGAAAGATACCGATGCCGCCCAGCTGATGAGCAGAGCGCTCACAGCGAGGTTTGTGTTTCCACGGGTGGTGCACATCTGCTCCTGCCTTGGCGCACATAGAAAAAAAATTATTCCGCGGGTGGATGAAAAAGCTTAGAGGGGACATTGGTCCTGATGGCTCACAGCCCTCTGCTAGGAACTGATCCTAGAAGTCCTCATTCCTAGTCCCCCTGTGTCCCTGCTTCTGCGCTCACTTGCCAGAATTACGCTTCCTTTCCCAGAGAGGGGAATAAGACACAGGAGTCCACCGCAGCATTCCCTCATATAGCCCCTGTGCCCCACTTCCTTCCCAGAGCAGATCCCAGCCTTGCCCATACTCTGACACCCTAGACTCCACTCCTCTCCCACCACTCGGGACAGAACCCAGGTGTCCTGGCTCCGATCCCTCCGTGCTCTAACTCCTACACCCCACTGCCCTCTCAGAGCTAGAAACAGAGGCCAAGCCTCCTGGACTCAATGCCCTTCCTCTCCTCTAGCTCACCCCCCAGCCTGGAGACTAGACTCCAGGGCTGTGTCTACACTGGCCAGTTATTCTGGAAAATCAGCCGCTTTTCCGGAATAACTTGCCAGCTGTCTACACTGGCCGCTTGAATTTCCGGAAAAGCACTGACGATCTCCTGTAAAATCATCAGTGCTTTTCCGGAAATACTATGCTGCTCCCGTTCGGGCAAAAGTCTTTTTCTGGAAAACTGTTCCGGAAAAGGGCCAGTGTAGACAGCAGAGATTTCTTTTCCGCAAAAAAGCCCCGATCACGAAAATGGCGATCGGGGCTTTTTTGCGGAAAAGCACGTCTAGATTGGCCATGGACGCTTTTCCGGAAAAAGTGCTTTTCCAGAAAAGCATCCTGCCAATCTAGACGCGCTTTTTCCGAAAATGCTTTTAACGGAAAACTTTTCCGTTATAAGCATTTCTGAAAAATCATGCCAGTGTAGACGTAGCCCAGGAGTCCAGGGGATCTAAACGCTCTTGAAGCAATGGAATGAAATTGACCAAAAAAAAAGGGGGTACGTTTCCCAGCTGGATCAGACTTTTCCCTGGGGGGCGTGAGGTTCGTTAGCATGTGAGTTTTTCCCTAGCAGTGGGAACCCTCGAGAACAGGCTGAACAGGCCAGGGCCTGGGTGAAACGATGACCTAACCGAGAACCAGTCACTGGTTTCTCTGTGTCACCGCTGGGCGTGAGGGGAGGGAGGGGCAGGAATATTCTGACCAGGCCCTGCATCCAGAATCTCACCTTCGAATGGCTGATCTTGGAGGCCTCTTGCCTCTGGAGGAAGGCTGAGGTATGACAAATTAGGGAAGGATGGGCGTGACCAATTACAGTCTTGATCGAAGCGACGCTGGGTGAATTCCTGCCTCTCTCGTCTCATGAGCCTGGAGAGATCCTTAGAAATGAGCAAGAGGAAAAGGAGCTGAATTTACACAAACGCTAAGTAAGCTACAGCCGTTTAGAGCTTCAGATCACAAGGGGCCTCTAAATGAAAACCAAAATGATTAGTTTTTAGTTGTATCTTCACCTATGTACCAGTCTAGATGCAAAGATAAAGCTTTCTTATTTCTATTTTCATTTTCCTTTCTGTTCGAATAACACACATTTTTGGGGCAAAGTGATGGGGCCTATTAAACCTGACATAGGGTTTTAGCATGTCTTAATCCAGCCCCAAACCATACGGCGACCTATTTGAGAGCATCAGAATTACTATGAGCCAAGAATGTCTCTCATCTGAGAGGGATTTTGTCACACGTGGACTTTGATGGAAAAAAGAGTCACCTGAGAATTTTTTTCCTCCACTGTTTGGGAAAATTCCCCGAGAAACAAAACAGAGGAAAGTGTTTCTATTCCAGATGAATTTTTTTAGTTTGCTTCCCGCTTTCGGGGTGACAGACAAGATGAAGATGATGAAAGTAAACCAAACCAAAACAAAAACAAAAACAAAAAAATGAGGATTTCCATTCTCAATTCCAAAACCGAAAGTCAAACCCAAAACCGAAGTGGCCAGTTGCAATATGAAAGGGGCAGGGAGGAAGATGTTTTACATTGATACAAAAGATTCAGTTTTGATTTTTCAAAACTTTTAATTTTTCAATGATAGAAAATGCTCCCAAAACAGACTTAAAAATATTTGCATTCTAAAAAGTCACGGCAGAGTCTCATGGAAGTACTAATTTCGATACCTCGCAATCCTAACCTCCTCTACAGACTGAGCTCTCCAGAGGGACTTCATCTCCCATGATGCACCACAGCCATGATGGGAGATTTTGGGGGCTGATGGGAGTTGTAGTCCCCACCAGGGAACCCACCATATAGAGGAAAATGGAGGCATAGAACAGCTGAACTACAGCTCCCATGAGGCATCACGGTGTCATTTCAGAATGAAAATATTTCAGGTTATTTGAGCAAAAAAAGTCAAAATCATCCTTCCAACAGCTCCTGTTTTCCCAGCCAGCTTGAGACCCCCAGCCCCAGCTCTGTGGGTCAATAGTCCCTTCCCAATGGGATGTCTCTCCCTTTTCAGCTGGCTGCATTGTGCCAGTCAAACAGACTACAGCACTGTCAATAGCCACAGGTAGCCCCATTGCAACCATCTTGGCTACCAGCAGCACCACCCAGCCGGCACCACCAACACCCCTGCACCGATAGCGTGTAATCCAGTGTTTCTTAAACTTTTTAAGACTGAGGAACACCAAACAATAATTTTTTTATGGTGAACACCAAGGATTTCTTTTTTTGAGAAAAAAAAAAGCCTCCAGGGAAAAGTTGTTGAAAAAAAAAAAAAAGGAGGCTTGCCTCTTTAAGGACAGCTGTTTTGAATTGTGTTCTTTCCGTGGCACACCTCCAACTGCCTTGCAGTTCCGAAGAAACACTTGAAGAAACCCTGGTGTAATGTCACCGTGCCGCCACCAGCCATGCAGCCACCTCTGCACTGACCAACACCAGCTTCTTCTCGGGAGCAGAAAATGCCACCACCATTTTGACATTTGGGAAGAGGCACCACTGCACTTGGTAGTGAGAAGAAACCCCTCTTGTTTGTCACCAGCCCTGGCTGCAATCGGAAACCATAAGGTTCCCTTGACAGATCACTTGGTGAGGCCCCCCATGGGGTCCCCTCAGTTCTAGTCCTGTCCTCAGAGGATGCAAAGCTCATTAAGGGTGCCTATAATTGGCTCCCCTTAGCACACTATCAGAGAGTCTCACAACCTCTAATTAATTTCCCTGCGAGGCGGAGCTGGGCTATTCTCCCTGTTTTACAGTCAGGGAAACAGAGGCAGAGATATAGTGACGTGCCCAAGGTCACAGAGAGAGGCTGTGGCGGAGCAAGGCATGGCCCTGGGGTTGCACACAGCTTAAGCCGGTGTTCTAACCACTGGACCGAGAGCCAAGACGACAGACATTGATCTGTTAAATGAAGACTTTGAGCATTACCAACATTTTTTCACCTCCCCGTGAGCACTAAGGAAAAACGACAACGATTATTTTGTCAGCTTCTTCCTCTTTCAGGGTATTCAGGGAATCAGGAAAGATCTGCCTTAGAAAAGCCCCATCGGGATGGTGGTGAATGAAGATGGGGGCATCTCAGTGTGGCTCCCAGCCTCCCGGGACGGTGCTCATAGACACAGGCAGGCCAGTATCTGCTCCCTGGAACAGTTGCTTTTCTGCTTCTTAGTAACACTAAGCAGTACTAGGAGAGTCACCCGATGAAATAAATAGGCAGCAGGTTTAAAACAAACACAAGGAACTTTTTCTTCACGCAGCGCACTGTCAACCTGCGGAACTCCTTGCCAGAGGATGTTGTGAAAACCAGGACTCTAACAGGGTTCAAAAAAGAACTAGATACATGTATGGAGGTTAGGTCCATCAATACTCATTAGCCAGGCTGGGTAGGAATGGTGTCCCTAATGTCTGTTTGCCAGAAGCTGGGAATGGCTGACAGGGGAGGGATCACTTAATGATTCCTTGTTCTGTTAATTCCCTCTGGGGCACCTGGCATTGGCCACTGTCGGCAGACAGGACACCGGGCTAGATGGACCTTTGGTCTGACCCAGTCTGGCTGTTCTTACGTTCTTAAGAAACACCTATCCAATGGGCCATCCCTCTCTTTTTAGCCACCAGCTTTGCAGCACCGGCTGTTGATGTCTTAGGACAACCCATCGAAGAGCTCATAGATGTTAACAGCTGGCTGGACGACGGTTCTGGGTACTCCTATACAGGATACACCTGCCGTCACTGGATCCCCACCAGAGGTCACCTCTGCTCTGTCCAACACCAGCCCATTATCAGGAACAGATGGTGCCACCACCGAAGCCGCAATGGAAACAGGCACTACTGCACCAGGTAGTGAGAAGAAATGTGTCACCCAACCTGCATCCAATCAGAGACCCTAAGATTCCCCCGACAGATCGTTTGGTGAGGTCCCCGTGGGGTCCTCCAGTTCTAACCCCATTCTTACAGGGTGCAAAGCTGTTACAGCCCCAGCCAGGAAAATCATAGACCCAAAACTGCATGAAGTGTCAGTGGAAACCCTTAGGGAGTTTCACATCCTCGAACCTCTAAGGCGGAGCTAGACTATTCTACCTGTTTTACAGTTGGGGAAACAGAGGCAGAGACGCAGTGACTTGCCCAAGGTCAAACAGGCAGGCTATGGCGGAGCAGGGCATGGCCCTGGGGTTGGGCACAGCCTAAGCTGGTGTTCTAACCACTGGACCAAGAGCCAAGACGATTATCAGTTAAATGAGGGTATTGAGCGTGGCCCACGTTTTTTCACGGCCCCCTGAGAGTGAAGGGAAAAGGACAAAAGTTTGAAAGTCCCCACAGCTGTGAGCTTTCTACCGGCACCTTCCCTTGCTGCCCCACCCCAGAGCTGGCTGCATTTCAGCTCCAGCTGAAGCAATCGCTGTGTTTACCAGTTTGGGGATCCTCGCCTGCGTCAATCCAACTTCCTATGTGGAAATTGGCCACGTGGGGATGACACATTCTAACGCTCTCTTATTTTGGCAGCTTCCTCCTCTTTTGGGATATTTGGGGAGTTGGGGAAGACACAGCTTAAAGAAGACCCATAGGGACGGTGGGAAATGGAGATGGGGAATCTCAAGGACACAAACTCAGGGAAACTCAGCCCGCCTTCACTGCATTCCTCTTGCGCCAAAGCCTATGCAAATGAAGTGCAGATTAACATATTGCCATGCTTCGTTTGCATAATTAATTAGGGGCCGTTTTTGCACAAAAAGGAGCCGTCTACACAGCTCCTCTTTGCGCAAAACCTTCTTGCGCAAAAATGGCCCCCAATTCATTATGCAAATGAAGCGTGACAATATGCTAATCCATGCTTTGTTTGCATTGGCTTTTCCGCAAGAGGGATACAGTGTAGACGTGGCATACACGTGACAGAGGGATACAGTGTAGACGTGGCATACCAGTCTCAACAGTGGGTCTCCCGGTCTCCCGGGACAGAGCTCACAGGAACAGAGTAACCCTGGCGGGCCGATCTCTGCTGTTTGGAACAGAACCTTTTCTGCTTCCCAATAACACTAAGAAGAATAAGGAGCCACCCAACGAAAGGAATAGGTAGCACAATTAAAACAAACACAAGGACATTTTTCTTCACACAGCGCACTGTCAACCTGCGGAACTCCTTGCCAGAGGATGTGGCGAAAACCAGGACTTTAACAGCGGTTTAAAAAAGAACTAGATACATTCATGGGGGTTAGGTCCATCAATGGCTATTAGCCAGGCTGGGCAGGGATGGTGCCCCCAGCCTCTGTTTGTCAGAGTTTGGGAATGGGCGACAGGGGAAGGATCGCTTGATGATTCTCTGTTCTGTTGGCTCCCTCTGGGACGCCTGGCCTTGGTCCCTGCTGGCAGACAGGACACTGGGCGAGATGCATTGTTGGTCTGACCCAGTCTGGCTGTTCTTACGTAACCCTTTCTCAATGGGACATCCCTCTCTTTTTAGCTATCAACGCCAACACCACCACACCGCTGCCCGTCGTACCTGATGGGTCCGCCACAACTGCTCAGGTTGCGGAAAGTACCACCACGCTGGTTGACGACAGCAACCCCACCCTTATACCAGACGCAGTTACTGAGTCCACAACACCGGTCAACAGCCAAGAGAACACCACTGCCCTGACCAACACCACCCTCATCCCAACAACGGACAGCAACACCACCGAATCGACAACGGAAACAGTCACCACTACACCAGGTATTGGGAAGAAAACCCCTCTTGTTTGTCCTAGAACCACAGAACCCTAGAACGGGAAGGGACCTCGAGAGGTCATCAAGGCCAGCTCCCTGCCCCCACGGTGGCACCAAGCCCCATCTAGATTACCCCTGACAGGTGTCTGTCCAACCTGCTCGTAAATATCTCCAGGGATGGAGATTCCACCACTTCCCTAGGCCACTCATTCCAGTGCTTAGCCACCCTGCTAGGTAGGAAGTTTTTCCTAATGTCACCAGCCAGGATGCATATGGAGACGGTAAAGTTTCCCTGGCAGATCGTTCTGTGGCTCTCTCAGGAGACCCGCCAGTTCTATGTCCTATCCTCAGGAAGCTGTAATGCTGTTCTAGCCCCGACTAGGAAAATTCTTAGGCCAAAAACCTTATGATTTTAGCCCTACCAAATCCAGGGTCCGTGTTGGCCCATTTCACAGGTATAGGATTTCAGAAAGAGTCAATGTCATGATTTCAGCTATTTAAGCCTGAAGTTTCATGAAGTTGTTATTGTAGGGTTCTGTCCCCAAAGAGGTGCTGACCTATTCACGCCCCTTCCCATCGGTCTACCTGCCCATTGGCATACTATCTGTGAGCCTCACAAACTTTTAATGCAGTGGTTCCCCACCTTTTGGGGCTGCCGGGTGCCCAGGGGTGGGGATGCTCACGCGCCGCGCATCCGGGGGCGGGGCTGCACACACGCCACACGCCTGGGGGTATCACTGCACATGCGCCACGCACCCATGCCCTGGCGGGCGCCATGGTGCCCACGATCACTGCGTTGGGAACCACAGTTTTAATGTCTTTCCCTGGGAAGTGGAGCTGCTCAATTATCCCTATTTTGCAGAAGGGGAAACTGAGGCACAGACCAAGTGACTTGCTCAAGGCCACAGAGGAAGGCTGTGTCAGAGCAAGGGATTGCACTAGGATTTCACACCACTGGATGCAGCATTCACGAGATAGACATTGATCTGTTAAACAAGAGCATGGAGGTTTACCGACGGATTTTGAGAGTCTAGTTAGTGTGAGGTTAGAGGATAAAGGTTTGAAAGTCCTATTCATTGCAGGATTTCTAAAAACAGCCTTAACTCTGACCCTAAAACCCTACAATTCTCCTTGCCTTGCTGAAATGCCAGGTTCCTCTCGGGGGGTTACCAAAGATATATCATATTTCAATCAACCCCAAACTTTCCGGCTGTGTCTACACTGGCCACTAATTCCGGAAAATCAGCCGCTTTTCAGGAATAACTTGCCAGCTGTCTACATTGGTCCCTTGAATTTCCGGAAAAGCACTGACGATCTCATGTAAAATCATCAGTGCTTTTCCGGAAAAACTATGCTGCTCCTGTTCAGGAAAAAGTCCTTTTCCGGAAAACTGTTCCGGAAAAGGGCCAGTGTAGACAGCAGAGATTTCTTTTCCGCAAAAAAGCCCCGATCGCAAAAATGACGATCGGGGCTTTTTTGCGGAAAAGCGCATCTAGATTGGCCACGGACGATTTTCCACAAAAAGTGCTTTTCCTGCAGAACCTCCTG